GTTAAAGTGGAGGTAAAACATGAGGGTTAAAGTCGAAGTTAAGGCACAAACGGGGTTAAAGTGGAGGTAAAACATGAGGGTTAAAGTCAAAGTAAAGGCACAAAGAGAGTTAAAGTGGAGGTAAAACATGAGTGTTAAAATGGAGGTAAAACATGAGGGTAAAAGTAGAAGTGAAGACACAAAGAGGGTTAAAGTGGAGGTAAATTTAGAGTGTTAAAGTGGGAAGGAGGGGCGGGGGCTTGATTATTAAAGTGGGGATGAAGCAAGAGGGTTAAATTTGATGTAAGACATGAGCGTGAAAATGGGAGTAGAGGCACAAAGAGGGTTAACGTGGAGGTGAAATATGAGGGTTAAAGTCGAAGTAAAGCATGATAGTTTAATTGTAGGCAAAACAAGAGGGTTAAAGTGGAGGTAAAACAAGAGGGTAAAAGAGACATGGACACCTCCAGATGTTTCACTGTCCTCGCCGCCTGGGCAGTGGGGGGTACCATCAAGTGTTATGCGAGCTGATTGGCTTCAGGATTGGCGGCAATGACACGAGAAGGGTTAAAGTGGAGGTAAAACATGAGGGTTAAAGTCGAAGTTAAGGCACAAACGGGGTTAAAGTGAAGGTACACATGACATGAGGAATAACGTCGAAGTAAAGGCACAAAGAGAGTTAAAGGGGAGGTAAAACACGAGTGTTAAAGTCGAAGTAAAGACACAAAGAGGGTTAAAGTGGAGGTAAAACATGAGTGTTAAAATGGAGGTAAAACATGAAGGTTAAAGTAGAAGTGAAGGCACAAAGAGGGTTAAAGTGGAGATAAACTAAGAGTGTTAAAGTGGGAAGGAGGGGCGGGGGCTTTATCATTAAAGTGGGGATGAAGCAAGAGGGTTAAATTTGATGTAAGACATGAGCGTTAAAGTGGGAGTAGAGGCACAAAGAGGGTTAAAGTGGAGGTAAAGGCACAGAGAGGGTTAAGGTGGAGGTACACATGAGGAATGAAGTCGGGGTAAAGGCGCAAAGAGAGTTAACGTTAAAGTGTAGGTAAAACGAGACGTTTCAGAGGAGGTAGAACATGAGAGTTAAAATGGAGGTAAAACAAAAGGGTTAAATTGGAGGTGAAACCAGGCGGGTTAAAATGGAGGTAAAAAAGATGGTCAAAATAGAGGTAAAATACGAGGGTTTAAATACAGGTAAAGTAAAGGTGTTAAAGTGCAGGTATAACATAACGGTTAAAGTGGAGGAGATTTTAGTTTAGTTTAATTAGAAGTTTTATGGCACTTGCAACGCAAGAAGAGGTGTTACAAGAGAATAAAAACCACAAAAAAGGAGGAGAGGTCAGGACGATAGATGTTTGATAGGAAAGATGAAGGCGCAAACCACACTTAATAATAATAATAATAATCACAAAAAAGGAGGAGAGGTCAGGACGATAGATGTTTGATAGGAAAGATGAAGGCGCAAACCACACTTAATAATAATA